CCACCGTGGACACTCCGTGCTACGAGGTCCTGCAGCACCGCAGACCCAGCCTGCGCTGCCGCTGTCGTTGCAGCTGAGTGCCGGGCTGATGGCGACACCGTGCAGCCCCTCCTGCCCCCTCCCAGACCCTGTGGCAGTGGCACCGGAGCACCCCGTGGGCAGGACTCCCCCGGGATGGGGAGAGACGAAGCCCCGGGGCCACCTTAACTTCCCGGCAATGACGCCATCGGGGAGGAGCAGGCAGAGAGATATATGCAGGCAGGAGGAGGCAGAGAGGAGGTTTGGAGGCAGGAGTGGACAGCAGAGAGGCAGAAAGTCAGGAGAGGGCAGAGGGAGTGACCACACCTGGCAGGATGGATATGGGGCAGGTGGCAGACACGAATGGGTTGAGGACAGTGGCCGCCGACAAGCTGGACGAATGGATCATGAAGTTCCTGCAGCCCAGCACAGCTTTCTGCAGGCAGGTGAAGCAGACGGTGAAGCAGATCTGTGACTTCCTAAAGGAGGACTGCTTCGAGACCAACATCCATGTCCACAAGACCGTCAAGGTGAGCATTGCTTGGCTTGGGGACCAGCCAGCCCCCCTGCTGCCATCCCTCTCTCTGCCCTGCCTCAGTGTCCCCCAGCAGCAGCAGGAACAGTGGCAGGTGATGCCTGTGCCAAGGAGCAGTGGTGCTGAGTGGGCAGGGTGTCTCTCTCTGCAGGGTGGCTCCGCGGGCAAGGGCACAGCCCTGAAGAACAACTCCGATGCCGACATAGTGCTCTTCCTCTGCTACCTCTCCAGCTACCAGAAGCAGAAGCAGGAGACAGGGTATATTCTGGATTTGATTGAGAAGAGGCTGCACGCCTGCAAGGAGAGCCTGACGTTCACCGTGGACATCAGCAAGCCCCGGTACAAGGGTCCCAACAATGCACCGCGCTCCCTCAGCCTCACCCTCTGCTCCAAGGAGACTTCAGAGTCCATCGAGGTGGACATCCTGCCTGCCTACGATGCCTTGGGTAAGGGTTGTGAGCTGGCGCCAGGCTGGGGCGGTGCCAGGCTGGGGCGTCAACGCCAAGACAGCTCTAACCCTCCTTCTCGCCCCACAGGGCAGGTGAGCCGGGATGCCCGGCCAGACAGGGGGGTATATGTGGAGCTTCTGAGTGCCAGCAGTGGCCCTGGGGAGTTCTCCCCCTGCTTCACCGAGCTGCAGAAGAAGTTTGTGAAGCGTTGCCCTCCCAAGCTGAAGAACCTCCTGCGCCTGGTCAAGTACTGGTACAAGGAGGTGAGGGGCTGCCCAACGTCCCTGGCACCCACCGGGCACCCGTCTGTCCTCACCAGCTCTCACCCCCATCCCCATCTTTTCCACAGCTGCTGAAGCCACAGTACGACACTGCGGATCTGCCCCCCAAGTATGCCCTGGAGCTGCTGACCATCTACGCCTGGGAGCAGGGCACAGGCTCCCTCGAGTCCTTCAACACGGCCAAGGGCTTCCGTACAGTGCTGGAGCTGCTGTGCCGGCACCGGGAGATCTGCATCTACTGGGAGACGTACTACTCGCTGCAGGACAGCCAGATTGGTGCCTACATCAAGGAGCTGCTGTTGCGCAGTCAATGGTAAGGACCCTGGCCTGTGGGACCCATGTCACTTGCCCCACGGTGCTGCCTGGGGCTGACAGCAATGCCTGTCTGCTGTGTTCACAGCCCCATCATCCTGGACCCTGCTGATCCCACGGGGATCCTGGGCCAAGGCAAGAATTGGGACCTGGTGGCACAGGCAGCTGCCTGCTATCGTGCGCTCCCCTGCATGAACGCTGTCGAGCCCTGGGATGTGCAGGTAAGGTTGCCTGCACCTGCGGGCATCGCAGCCCCCTGCCTCTGCCGGCTTTACCCACCTGCTCTCCTGTCCCCACAGCCATCCCGGCCCGTGACGATTGAGGTGAGGCAGCTGGTGGGCACCAGCCTGAGCATGACTGTCAGCCCAGGCACCACCATCAGACAGCTGAAGGAGAAGATTGAGCAGGCGTGGGGCATTTCCCTGTACAGGCAGCGCCTGGCGCAGCAGGGGTCAGGCAAGAAACCCCTTGTCCTGCAGGATCGCGAGACCCTGGCCACCCATGGCATATTCTACAGCACCACACTGATGCTGCTGCAGACTGAGCTCCAGGAGATGGAGGTCATCGTGAAGGATGACAAGAACCGGCCCACTACCTACACAGTGCGGCCCACTGACACCGTCCAGCAGCTGAAGGAGCAGATCCACAGGCAGCAGGGCCCCCGTGCTGAACAGCAGCGCCTGATTTATGGCTCCCAACAGCTGGAGGACCGGCACACGCTGGCACACTACAACATCCAGCCCTTGAGCACAATCTACATGGTCCTGCAGCTCCGGGGGGGCACAGGCCCTCAGCACCTCCAGTGCCCTGCCTGCTTGCCCTCCTGAGCATCGACACCAGCCTATGCTCTTACACTTGCCCCCCACCCCTGCCACCATCTTGCTGGAAATAAATGCCTTGGTAGACCCTTGTGCTGTTTGCTGGGTTAGGAACGGTGCCAAGTAGCACAGGGGGTGGTTGGGAGGGACCCCATTGGGATGACGGGGGCCTCAATGCCACCAGCTCCTGGGACACAGAGGTGCAGAGCAGCAGTGCTGCCCAAGCCTGGTGTGACCAGTGGAGTCATAAGTGCCAGCCTGGTGCCGGCTGGACAAGAGGAAAAAAAACAGCTCCATCCTCTGCCTCCTATCTGCCTGTAGCAGCTTTTAAACCTTTCCGGGCCACCACCCCAATGGTGTCACCACAGGAAGTTAAGGTGGCCCTGGGACTTCGCCTTTGCACAGCCACCAGCCCCCCAAGGTGCTCCTGCCCAGGGTCTCCCATGGGTGCCCAGCTGGCAGGTGGCACTGTCCCACCACAGGGACCCAGCGCCAGGCCCTGCCCAGGGGCAGGGGTGAGGGTGCCCATGCTGTGCCCATGCTGGAGTCTCAAGTGTCTGGGCTGGGGTGTAGCCAGCGCTGAGACATGGCTGGGGCTGGTGTCACTGGCACGGGACACTGATGTCACCCTGGGCAATGGGACATGGCTGGGGTCAGTGTCACCGGGGGCCCTGGTGGCACCACAGGCAGTGGGAGGCAGATGACCTCAAGGTCACCTCCTGTCACTGCCTTAACTGCTGGCTGCTGGCACTGGAAAGGCCAAGTTTCGGTTTTGCTCTTCCAGAAATGAAAGTGTGGAGATGTCCCCGGTTGACCTTGGCAATGTCTCCGTTGGGCATAGCCCCCGGGTGCTGCTGAACACCCCGACCCTCTTGGCTCAGGGTGCCAGCGGAGGTCCCCGTTGCAGGGCACCGAGCTGCTCTTCCCATCAAGTGCACTCTGGGGCAGACGCAGGACCCTGGGCTGAATCCTTTGCTTTATTGTGCTCAATTAGTACAAG